TTTCCCTATTTCCCCTGCCTCCTCCACTGGTTTTTGGACATTTCCTTTGTTGAAGGTTTCTGTTTGAGGACTATTCTTTGCATGGTAATTGTAATATAGGAATATTACCTACTGTGTTATCGCCTCTGAGTTATTTAGTGACCAACTACATTTGCCTCCTAAACCCACTCCTGTGTATTACCATGGCCACACTCTCCAGCAACTTCAGCTCGTACATACTTGAGAACTGTTTCAGAAAACAGTTGTTGGCTTAGATAAGAAATTATTTCTCCTAATCTCACCCAAAGTAATGCAGATAATTATCATCTACCAACATTAGTTTTAATTTTACTACCCCTTTCCTAGTGCTCTACCTTTTACTGTTTCAGTTCTTGTTTTTGATATTATTATGACAATTTATTTTAGGCCTTTTTATTCACATGACCTGGTACATATGACTGTATGGGTAAAACTTCATGGATTTACTCCTCAGTAACTGCGTGTTTCTCTTGCTTTGCTTCTTCCTGCTCAGCAGGCAATGGTAGTTTCTTACCTGAACAGCAGTGGGATAAATGCACACGTTATTATTTCTCCCAGCCCTACGAGCTGTCTTTAGCTTATAGAAATCAGGTCATTTACATTTCCCCAGTGGCTAGTCTTAAAATACTATCCAAAAATATTTATCCTTTGTCTGTATGCTTGCTAGCCTCATGCCTCCTCAGACGTGCATTTTCTTATTTGTATGGTTCCCAGTTCTCACTTGTTGGTCTCCTGCCCACAGGGGTTCTATTTTCGTTGAATTTACTTGTCTCTTGAGATAAACACAGAAAATTTATTATAATTCCCCATTCCCTATTAAGCCCAAACTTAACCTAAATGTTTGTTTTTCTAAGCAGTATCTTTCCTAACCTATTTTATTTCTCTACTTTCTAAATTTAGTTGTCTTTAGAAATTAACAAAGGCCAAAACCCTTAGAATGTAAAAAAACCCTCTCTAGTTCCAAAAATAATACACCACCAGACTTTGGAGCACTTAGTATGATCTCTTCTTTGTGTGTTTATATATAAAATGGGATCCTCCCCAGTTATTTATATTATAGATACCAATACAATCTTGCTTATTAGGTAAGGAAGTCTACCACTGCCACAGGCTTCCCTGCAAATTTTCATAAACATGTCATCAGTGTGCAATGTAGTATGCTGGAATAATATCCACGCTAGCGCTGGCATCAGAAGCAGACATTGCTGTTACTGACAACACTGTCAAGAAGGGAAATTGAGAGCCATGTTGCAAATACAGCCGCTCTGTTGCTGGTACGTGAGTTGGAGCGTTAACTGCATCTGAGTCTGCTCTAGGCAGTTGTCCGCTCTGGCAGACTGATGTATTTTAATAGAAATGGATCCCATGTCCTCCTGTAGTGGAACATAAACAGGTGATGCTGCAACCACTGTATTGCACGGGATGAGGCGAGATTAAGACTTTTCAAATGAGAAGAGTAACACTCCACATAATTCAAGAACTCTGTGGCAGAATAAAAAATGAGCAAGGTTTCCCAGTTCCCAAATCAGAACTCTTTATATTGCGCAGTCTCACTGTTTCTCTCTTGCCGTTGCCTTTCTCCCTGCTTGTGAAATTTCTGACTTTTTCTGTATCCGTAGGCTGTGGCTGAGGAAGGTGTGAGTGTGCTTGTTCACTGCTCTGATGGCTGGGATAGGACAGCCCAGGTTTGCTCTGTAGCGAGCCTTCTATTGGATCCGTATTACAGAACTATGAAGGGATTCATGGTAAGCAGGTTCTCTTTCACAGAGTAAATACAAGTATTATGGCATCATTTAAGATTAATATCTTTGGTTTTAATGGAAAATAAACTTTCCTTAAATACACCTGTTTTTAAAAAAAGTAGGAAGGAAGGTTTTTATCTGTCCAAGTTTCTGTATGAAGTGGTATCAAAGCCAGGGATCAGTTGAGCGTCCATTTATTTTTTTTCCTAACCTTTACCAAGAAACTTTCTTGCAGTCCAAGGAAAGCAAGAATTTGTATTCATTTTCAGGGATCAGTGAAGGTTTGAGTGTCAGAGGTGCGTGCTCCCTAGACATTAGGTTGCAATGAGCAGCAGCGTTGGAAAAATCTGTTCCTTTTCCAAGCAAATCAGCACTGGTAAAATATCTAGGAATGCTTCTTGCTCACACGTAAAAAAGAAGTTTGAGATGGTTTTAGGTTCTATTTTAGAAAATGGTGAATCAAGCTAATTGAAGTAGTGCTGAAATACTGGCATCCTATCTGCATCCATGAAGAGTGCTACTTTCTGTTGAGTTGGCAGCAGAGCTCATGGCTCGTTATTTTTCTGCTTATTCTAAAAATCTGAGATTCTAATACTGCCTGCTTATATCATTCTTGCTTGTCACTTTTCTGCTTATTCTAAGAATTAACTGGGATTCCAATACTGTTTATTTATGCCACTCTTCTGCCTGCTTCAACATGTGTCAGCTCTGCTCCACAACACTGAATGCAATATTCTCATTTCAGGTGTTAATTGAAAAAGACTGGGTTTCCTTTGGTCATAAATTTAACCACAGGTAAGGTGGTGCTAAGGTTTTTCTATATATTTTTATGCAGTCGCTATCTGCTGTCATTCCAATTTTATTTCCTTGTTGCCTTTCAAAGCATTTCAACAGAATACCCTCAGGAAGCCGCTATACTCTTTTCTCCTACTATATGATTTATCTGCCTGGAAAAAAAATCAGTGAAATATTTTCATATCAATCTTTTCTTACATACGCACTCCAAGACTGCTATTGGGAGTCCTGAGTGCTGCTTTTGCAGTTGCTACGAGCATTGAGAGACTCTTGTGAGAGAAAAGGAGTATGTGTATGTATGTCGCTTGCAAAATCCCTTTGGACTCCAGCAGATCTTTCAGTAGTGCCAAGGCTTCCCATGTAAGTCCCTGTTCAGCAAAGTCTATGTCTTCCATACTTAATCTTAGGCATGTCTGCAAATTATCTATTAAGTAAAATATACTCTTCCTATTACACTCTGATTTAATGAAAACAGTAGGATTTGTTCAGAAATGCCATAAAGGGAAGCAAAAAGTCAGCTATTCGGACAAGTTTCTTTGTACATCCATTATGTAAATGCTGTAATGTAATGAAAATGTTTGATGACTTTTTATACTTAAACATGGATGAATATCCACATTTTCCTTCTTTCTTGTATTTCCTTTTAGTTTCAGCAAAAATATAAAATGCAACTTTTATATTGGAGTTTAATTACATTATATTGCTTGACTTGAATATAAATGTATGTTCTGGCTTCAAAAAAAGCCAACAAAGCTTTCAGGAAAACTCTGCAGCTCCATACCACCTGTGAAATTCTAGCTAAGTAATTACTACATTTAATATGATACTGTCAGATGCCTAATATTATCAGTGGTAAAAGAGATGAAATGTGATCACCACTGTTAGCTTTGGTTTGCAATACAATATTGCTATATTCTCTGTGATGCATCATAATAGTAGAATTAGAGGTTTCTGTTTTAGATGTTTATGGAATTCCACTCTGGTGCCATACGCACGCACACACCCCCCTAGCAGAATAATTGATTTAAAATGCTTCTTCCTATTATGTAGACTTACAAAATATTTTTTACTTCTATGTGGTTTGTATTTTCAGGCCCTGTTCTTCAAGGTACCCCATTGCAAGTGGTTCCACGAGACATTTTTATAGATAGAAAACTTGATGTTCACTTGATACATACAGTAGCATGTTAAACACTTCCCACTTCCTAAAAATTTCACCAAGAGAGGGCAGCTTTAAACTGTTTTCTGCCAAGGTAATTCTGTTCCTCTCCTGCTCAGTTTTCTGGTTCTGGCAATGGTTTGCTACTGAGAGATGATCCAAGCTAGCTTTTTAAAGTCATTGCAGTCATTCTTATGATGAGTAAGTAAAAACACACTAACAGTTGAGATTTTAGAAATGAATGCCTATGATGTAACTTGACCACTAAAAGTGAGAGGTTTGTTTTCATTACTGTGAATTCAGTTTTCCTAGAGGATTTCAAGTTATATTTGAATGTATCTTGTATTGTTTCAGATATGGCAATTTAGATGGAGATCCAAAGGAGATATCCCCTGTTATTGACCAGTTCATCGAGTGTGTTTGGCAGTTAATGGAACAGTTCCCTTGTGCCTTTGAATTCAATGAGAGATTCCTCATCCACATACAGCACCATATCTATTCTTGCCAGTTTGGGAATTTCCTGTGTAACAGCCAGAAGGAGAGACGAGAACTGAAGTACAAAGCTCCTATTTTTTAGTAGCATATTTATATGTGGGGTGTGTGGGTGGTGGTGTATTGAGGAGTCGGACATTTGCCACACTACATATATGTGCTTTTGTAAGGCACGAGGTGCAGTGTGGACTTTGTGGCCTGTCATCTTCCAGCAACGCAGATTAATACTGGGAAAAAGTTGATCCTCTGCAATGGGGCTCTTCTGGGAGTGTAATCCATGGGGTGCGTGACAGGGCTTAGTGAAAACTTACAAGAGCATTAGCCCTCTCGCCATATGGCCCTACCTTTATTGCAGAATTAACAACAAGGCAACAACACACAACAGCTCTAACACAAGATGATAGTAACTCTAGTTAAGTTCTCAGTTTAAGAGTCACTGCTTTTCTGTTTTAGCTTGTCTTTGGATCTCACGTCAGGACACTTCAGTCCTAATCTCTCAGATACTTTCTTACAAACAGCCTTTCTGTCTGGTAGCCCTCCCTAGGGCTGAGTCAGCAAACTGTCCTTCTGCTGTCTGGCCCCAAAGCAATGATGAGTTAATCTACCTGCCCTCAGGCCAGAGCAGAGACATTAATACCATTCCTGGCAGTGCTGATGTTTGTATCTCCTTCCTGGGGCCCTGGGTCCTCAGGTACATCATGATACGCTTTTCTCATGCATCTGGATCATGTCAGCAGTAGTAATGAGAGGGAGGTGAGAGTTCCTGCTTACTGTGGCTGTTTGGTCCCTTTCACTGCTCAAATGCAGAGGCATTTAAAATCAAAACCTTCACAGGTCATCATATCCCAAAACCTAACTGCATGAGAAATCACAGCTCAATTGTGCTTTTGAATGTGGGGATCTCTTTGGTGGAGATAGGTCTGAAAACCAATTTAATGGAAATGATCCTCTTCATCTTGCAAAGGAACCCTTCTCTCTCCAGTTGTTCTGGCTTTATGGGAAATTGATTGGATTTTTGGTTTTAGTGACCAATAAAGGAATTTGGGACTCTTTTTTTCTAGAACTTAAGTGTAATTCTGTTCAAGAAGTATAGAGCAGATTGTAAATGAGTAGTGCAGAGCATTAGAAAGTCTTATTTTAAGCTTTTTCTCTATCTGAATTGTAGTAGACACTTAATATATTTTTATTTAATATACTTTTTCAGAATCCAAGAACGAACATATTCATTGTGGGCTCACATGTGGAAAAATCGTGCCGATTACCTGAATCCTTTGTATAGATCAGACCACAGTCAAACCCAAGGGACCCTGCGCCCACAGACGGCTCCATGCAACTTCTTGTACAAGTAGGTAGTGTCTTGCTATTCAGAATTTTGGGATGTGGTAGTACAGAACAGAGTGCCTTTGTATTCAAGTATTTCTGATTACATAAGATAGCTTATAAAAGTGAATTCAGTCTCAGATGCAATGTGTGCTCATAGCCAGCCAACACCGCTGCACCATTCCACAGCGGAGTATTAGTCAGGAAAGAAGCTTAAGATTAAAGCTATATTGATAGTCGTGTGTCCTAATTTCATGGTTACTCACTTCTTCCACTGAGATATGGCCCCTTCAGTTCTGTTCTTGTCTGTGGTTTCTAAATTTAAAGTTGCTTAAACATCTTCAATTCAAGGTGGTGTGGTGATTATTTGGATCAATTGATACCAAAAATAAAAGAGAACATTTCAAGAAATCATACGGTTTCATTGCTAAAATGAGTGTTTAGTAAAACACAAAGCAGACTTTCCCCATGTTGTTGTTATACCTTGAAGTATACACAGCAAGTTTTACTTGATATTTTAGCTTTTTTCAAAATGTACCAAAATATCATAATTTTAGAAGTGTTAGTATTGACATTCTGACTTGACTAATCATGCCATTAATCTTAACAATCTTAAGGACAACTTGATTAGAAGTACATGAAAACTGTGATTTAAGTAAAACTGATCAGTTTGTTTTCTAGATGCAAGTATAAGCATCTGTTAAAAAGTCAGTAATACCTGCAATGACAAAAATTGAATTATTTCATGTCTACTATTCCAGATAACATCCACTTTAAAACAATTTAAAAATAGTCATTAATCATGCTCTTTAGGATACTGGGATTTATAGAAGTACTGATACTGCAGATGCTCCACCAGATGAGTAATCCTGTTGATTTTAATGGAATTACTTGTGTGTGTAGAGATTCCAAGCATGAGCTATCAGATGATAAACTTAAGGGGAAAACGCAACTTAAATAGTACACTATCAGGGTAGGAATAATAACTGCCAAGGAGCACGCACATGATCTGAAAATATCTGCAGCTGAGGGCATGCCTCTCGGTTACTTAACCTGTCTGGTGAACTACTTACGTACTCAGGGTCTGGCTGTGGCCACATACTGCCAGGAAGACAGAAGACAGGAGGAGTGCTCAAGTAAGCTATGTATTTACAGTTCAAGTCCTTTCCTCCTGAAAAATGAAGATAAAGTCAGCTGTTTAATGAAGGGTTTGTCAAATAATTTCATAGAACCAGAAGAGAACTTGCCAATGTATACGCCTCATGCAATTTCCATAGGCCAGATTGAAGTGTCAGTTTAAAGAGAACAGGATGCCCTACTGTTTTTTACAGTAAAAAAACCTGTTAACTATCTGCACCTCACCCCCCCTCCCAACCCCAGACAAAAACAAGCACCCAGAATGTAAAAGTTGACTTCATGGGAAGTTAAACGACAGTTGAGAGCTAGGATTACAACAAACTGTCTTTGACACCGTGGCTGTTTTATAGGTACCACTGCTCTAAAGCCCATGGTGTAGAACAAGAAAATAATACAGCAAAAGTTTGCCTTCAGTGAACCACCCTCAGCCATGTGGTCTAAGTCAAAGGCACATTCATCTTTAGTATTGTTCTATTGTGTATCAGAATTGGCTCAAGCTGTGTACGTCCACAGAATTGCATCTTCAGGACAGAGCCAATGCAAATGAACTACAGATTAGAGGGCAGATTTACATTAGACATTAAGAAGAAATTCTTTATTCTGAGAGTAGCAAGACATTGGAACAGGTTGCCCAGGGAAGTTCTGGATGTCCCCATCCTGGAGGTGTTCAAGGCCAGGTTAGATGGGGCTTTGAACAACATGGTCTAGTGGGAGGCATCCCTGCCTATCTTTAAGGTCCCTTCCAATCCAAACCATTCTATGATTCTATGAAATCTTACCAAATACTCAGTGAACTTATGGGTAGGCACTCTAATGATGAATAACCCAGGACATGTGTCTGGAAAAAAGAAGTATGTATTTAAGAAAATTGCTGAGCTTCCTGTCAATTCCAGGTTCTGGAGTGGTATGTACAACCGCTTTGAAAAGGGGCTGCATCCTCGACAGTCAGTTACTGATTATCTGATGGCAGTAAAGGAAGAAACTCAGCAGCTGGAAGAAGAGCTGGAAATCTTAGCAGAGGTAAAAACCACTTGATTTTGATGCCCCAGACTTAACTGGTAGTAAAAAAAAACCCCAACTCCACTCACTGCACAGTCCCCTATGTGCTACATCCTTTTTCAGAATGGGGATGTTCAACCGTCATTGCTGTTCTCTTTTTTTTAAAAAAAGGCAAAGACACGTAAGAGGATCACTGGGCCCTAAATGTGCCCATGTCACATACACTGTTTCCTTTATTTCAGAGACTGGCGAATCTTCAGAAATCACAACTAAATGATAATAATAAAGTCAAGATTAAGCAGCAAGACCAAAGCAAACAGTTAGGGCTTTCTACTTCCAATAACAGCTTAGCTAATACTCCCCAGGAGTATAGCAACGATCTGAAGTCATTCCCATCCTGGAGCCCTTCACAAGGAGATGAAGAAGATTCAGCCCTGATTTTGACACAGGACAACCTGAAAAGCTCTGATCCCGACCTCTCAGCTAACAGTGATCAGGAGTCTGGTGTGGAGGACTTAAGTTGCAGGTCCCCAAGTGGAGGTGGCTGCTTGCCTAGTGAAGACAGTGGCAAGGATTCAGATGAGGCTGTGTTTCTGGCAGTCTGAAATACTTTCACAACAGCAGGGATCCAGATGCAGTTGAGTCTTTGAGTCTGCAATGATATCTGTGCATCAGATGAAGAATGGGAGTGGTCTGTGGCCTACAGAAATAATCCAAAGAAAGGGAACTGTGCAATTGTGTAAGTAAAGATCTAAGCAGAACAAACCATTATTAGTTTTAAGACATCATGCTAAAGAAAGGTAATATCTGCTGTTATATTTAGTTAAGCCAATGTGGTGTTTTACTTTATTAATGCTGCACATAATTATTCCTTACTTCGTACATTTCCGTAATTATTTATTGTACAAAATAATAGTTCTTCTCCAAAGATGTGAAATTCCAAAGTATTCTTACTAATAGGGACAAGGTTGAAGATTCATTCGTGTTAGCCTTACTGGTAAATCAGTCAAACTTATTTTTGTAGAGCTCTTTTGCCTTGGGACAGATTGTGTCTATTACTCACTTTTTTTCCATGGGAGGTGTTAAAACATCAAAAAAGTTCAAGGAATATAACAATACTTACAGAGCCTTCATGGTAAAGCATCCCTTTATAAAGAAAGGTACATAAGGCAGCGTACTCTAGCCTCTTTGTGTTGTTCTGAAATGTGATTGATTGTATCTTACCCTTGTTTCAAACTGCCTACATAAGATATAAAGGTAAAATTTTACAGGTGATAAACCCCCAAATTCTCCAGCGTATTTTGACTCCTAATGTCAATGTTTTATTTTAGTGGGAGTGAAGTACACATACAGCACAGAGAATAGGGAATTCAAAATCACTTATAAAATCACTTATGAAAGGGCATCACTCCAAATTCAGAATTAAAGGAAGGTTATGCCCATAAAAGAACTGCTACAAAACTGCTACATTTCTTCCAAATTTTACTGTTCAAAATAAACTAACCACAACCAAGGTTGTGGGTTTTTTATCTCCAGACAAAATTTCTTCTTTATTATTTGCCAACCTGAACAGAGCATGGCAGCGCTAATTTACGAAAAAAAAATGATTCACTACAACAGAAAGTTTAATCTCGTTTGGTTTAAGAATTTTCAGTTTTTAAGAACAGGAGTAACAGCTTTCATAACCATAGGTATGGAAATAAACCACTGAAAAATGTTTACAATGTGGGATGTTTTGAAACTCACTGAAAAGGGATACTGGGGTGTCATTCTTCCAAGTTTCTGTTTTCCGTTTTTTTTTTAATTGTTCTTATATCAAAGCAAAAAGTTAAAAATATAATTCCTATGGCTGCTCTTACCTGCTTGGAGACAATGTGGCTCTGAACTCTCGTAAAGCCAAGTGGTAGTAATGTAAGTTTACTTTGGTTGCATTTCATAGTACTCCTTCAAGTACAGACTTACAGGCAGAATTACACTACATTAATACACCTCAATTCAGAAGCTTTAGATTTTATTACTCAGTCTGCTTTCATGGAATGGCTTTCATTCTGTTCTGTGAACTCATGTTACGAAAATGAGTAGGTAAACTTCAGTATTATTAATATCCTCTTAAGAGAGCTGCTATCCTTAAGTAATTAAATTACTAAAAGAAAGATTTATCTTAATGTTATACTGTAAAGGCCAGATCCTCAATCTGATAAATCACTGTAGCTCAATTGAAATAAATACAGCTATGATAATATATACTCTGTTGAGAATCTAGCCTTCTGGTTTTTAATCTTTGTGAATTTTTAATAAATGAAAGCCCCAATTTTAATTGCACTTCTAAAAATCTTTCATACTTTGAACATAGCCTGTAAAATTTATCATTTTTAAGGAAATTTTGAATGGCTTTTCTCAAACTAAAGAAACAGGCCGTGAAGTCAGCAATGAAAACAAAACACACAAATACTCCATTTAAAAATGAGTTTGAAAATCGGCAATATTATTGCACATCTTTAAAATACAACAATTGTGTATGATGGTGTTGTGTACTATTAGACATATCTAGAAATAAATGCAGAACAGGAATATATGCAAATTCAATGCACTGTCTTCATGTCGCTTATGCAACTCCTTGTAAGTAGCTTTACAACTAAAATATTAAGATACTAACATTTTGTATTAAGCCTTTACTTGGCAGCCCTCTGGTGATGTGTCTTTCAGTCCTTGGAATTCTGGATTAGCTCCTACTGTTTCCATTGTAACGTGTGTATCTGTGGCATCATTTGCCTGCTGAGCAACACTTTCAAATAAACACCAAGGTCATTTAGTGTTACATCATTTCACACCAGTGAACGAAACAAAGGTTTGCTTTCCCAATTTCTGTAATGTAGTTTGTCATTTACTCAAGAGGCACTTTGTGACTGAAATTAAGGCATTTTTGTATCTTCTCTACTTTGATAATTGACTCTAGTAGTTTAAGCTGTGGAGGAATCTACAACTGATAACCAAGGAAGCTGAGGCTCCTCTCAATTGAGTTAATCATGTGGGAGTGTGTTACCCAACACCCCCCCCGCCGCCATTTTTTTTAAGGGAATGTGACACAAAAAGGATGAGAAAACCACAGTGGGAACTTCACTGATTTCTTGTAGCCTTGCGGGAATCTCTCTGCTGCAAATTCTTGCAAATTTGGCATGAGCCCACTGTAATTTGAAATGGGACACACGTGAACCCAACAAAGTGCTGGAAAGAAAGGATTAGAAGAGCATTATAGATTTCTGCGGTATAATTTTAGCCTTATTGGCTACTGGCTTACAGGCTGTTCTTTAGTACGAAAATATGCATGTAAAGGACACTGAAGGCAATGGGATAAAACAGCAGAGTTCCCTCTGCAAAAGACCACCATCTAAAGGACAGAAAGCAAACTTCTTCACTACCTGCTTTTATTGGTAGCTCTATACAAGACAGGTGGTAAATTGGTAATGGATTCTGAAAATCTGAAAAATAAAATTAAAAATCTGGAAGGCACAACTCAGACCAAAGGATAACATTAAAAGTATGGAGAGGAAAAAAAAAATTAAGAAGAGGGAGGCGGGGAAAGAAAGCTCTTTGTAAAATTAGCAGAAGCAGGGAACCACATTCTTTGAAGATGGGGCAAGCCAGAGCACCAGTTGACATGACATGAAAGAAGTTTGATGACACAAACTACTGACTATTAAAACCCAGCAACAAGGAGGTAGCCTCTGCAACAAAGATAAGCATTTCATCACTGTTGACCGGCCAGCTGATACTTTCATGTGGACACTGCCCTGATCTGCACACAGTGTGCTCACGTTTATCACAAACATCACAGGCAATGGGGCTGCTGCTGCTGTGTGCAGCCTGAAGGCTGAGTGCAGTGTTCGGGTTGGCTCATCCACCCTTGCACTCTGTGGTGCAGAGACAGGTGAACACCACAGTGTCTGAAAAATGCTGCAGTTGTCACTGACAATTCATTTGGGAAGGGAGGAACGTGTGGTGGGGTAAGTTAAAAGCAGGTCATCTTATCACAGAACGAAGATCAGTGAAAAAGCTGCCAGAGATCCAGGGCCAAGCAAACCCCTAATTCAGAGAAGCAGGAAACACTGCCAGAGAGCAGGGTGATGAGAAGGTAAAACAAGCATTCATCTTGACTTACGCTATTTAAATTGCCAGTGAAGCACCTCAAGGCAGCACGTCAAATCACGTTGAACCTTAGGGGCCTTTTAATATAAATCATTGTGGAAAGCAGCTGATGAAACATAGGACCACCAGAACTGTTGTGGCTGACTTCACACAAGGATTAAATTCTAAGTCTGCTGGTTGCCAAGGTTATTCAGATTAATTTATTCTGTTTCCAAAGACTAAAAGAACACAGTGCTTTATGTTAAGGCATTCTCTTATTACTCATATACAAACTTTCTTTGTAGCTTATTACTACACAGAAATTCGATCTCTACAGTACCTGACCAAAACAAGGCATTTACAAAAGCAGTAGCCAGAGATGCAATACAGGTTTTCAAAGCCCATTTTAGTGAAGGCAGCTCCAGGAATTACTCCTGTGGAAAGGGTCAGACAGGAAATCACTACACAGAAACATGAAAAGTTTGTCCTTTAGTTAGTTTACGGGATGTTTCCAACACAGTCCTACAATTCAATACCAGTAAAACCAGGGCCGGTATCCAAGAAACAAGTCCAGCAATGCCCAACTCTGTCCATAAGTTAGACACAAGGTATATTAAAAATCCCAAAGCCTTATTTCCAAGTTTAACACTTTACAGTATTTACTCTTCAGAATAATGTACACAATAAGGCTGTGATAACTGACTTAACTTTGTTGCCAATTTTAATTCAGTTTTACCTGAAGGTGTCTTAAATCTCTCTTTCAGAAAGATTTATTCTAATCTTTGAAAGAACTTGGACAGAAAAGATTTTTAACTTCCGCATTTGGTCAAGGTCCAAAGTGGCAAAGCTGCAGGAGTACGTACAGAGCAATCAACAGAAATACAATAGACAGCTAGATACTGCTTGGAACTAACTCAAATCTAGTCTCTTGCTTGTAGTGGTGGCTACTATAGCTGTACATACCTGACAGTCCCTATCTTTCAGAAAGGTTAGCATGTCAAGTACACTGGAAAATCTAGGAAAACTTTCTTCTACAAGCCCCAGAAGAATGTACCATTAACATCAGTTGTATACAAAATCATCCTAAAACGAAACCTACTGTATTTCAGACTTGGCATTTTAAAATTTCTCAGGTCTGCAATGGCATTAGTTACAATTACTATATGGAGAATTCAGTTCTGGATTTAAGTTGCCACTTGACTCAGGGAGGAACAAAAGGCCTAAACTCAGCTATTAAAAAATACTTAGCATTAAGATCAGATGTTAAAATTAGGCAAAACCCAGACTCAGTTAGTAGTAACAATACAGAATGCACCCTCACACCCACCCCAAACTACTGCCACCTCCATACTCCTGTATTTCTTACTTGTTTAAGTCACTTTTCCACTTGGCAGAACACCTCACCATGAGCACGACAGCACAAGGCTCTCCAGAAACAAGTCACTGTATATAACCTCTTATTCCAGATTGCTTAAGAGTTCACTTGAGACATTTCAAAAGATTTTAGAATATGCATCTAACAGCAGCTGCCATTCTCTCACACTTCATAGGGAACTGTTTAAAGCTGGATTTACACCTATACGCTACATTTTGGCAAAATAAGGTAAGGAATATGCTTAACAGTCAACTACCAGCAGGCAAGAAGCCAAAAAGCCTAACTGAGAGTGTTTTCAGTGTTCTACTAAGCCTGGTGAAAGTATGACTACTACCTATAAGCAAAAATGTTTGCATTGGCACAACCAGTGTAGGACTAAAAGAAAACTAAAAACCCCAACCAACCAGCAGCAGGTTGGCTTGTCCTTTAAGGGCCAGAATCAGGCTGGCCATTGCTGTGTGTGACAGGGTGCCTGTAACTAACCCCAGTACACCATTGTTGAATACAGACATGTCTTCTGTGCTTGTTTTGTAGAGGATGGGTTTGTGACTGCAGAAGGGTCTAAAAAATGGAAAATTCTAAGAATAGGAACAACAATATGAGAGAGAGAAAATAGGGAGAAAAGAGAAGACCTTAGACTTTCATATCCCTGAACAAGAAACACTGTACTAAGAACTTGCATTGAGCAGTGACATTTTCTTCTAGGCTCTCCTGCATGGAGAAGTCCTGAGTTTGTAAATCTGCTCACAAAAGTAACGTAAGAAGAAAAGCTGAAGTGTTGAGAACTTGTACTACTTTGGGAAGGAAATCCCCTGGCTAGAGAGTTTAGTCCCAGTAGAGCACCATAATACACTGTATAACATTCAACAGGAGGAAGCCTGTCATTCCATGCCATTATAAAATGTATAAAGAAGGTATTAGCTAAACTCAGGAAGAGCACTGGTTTTTGGTCATCTGTTCCTTTCTCTGCTTACAAGGAAGAAACAACAACAAAAGCAGCCCTGTACAGGATTTGTCTAGTCTTTAAGCTCATTAGTAAGACACTCAGAAAAAAATCCTAAACAACTTGTACACTCAGCACAAAAACTGTAGACAATTTGTCAAGATGGTAATACTGATGACTTAAATCTAACTCTTCTCCAGAGCTGCAGAAATCACACTACTCACTCAAGTTCAGAATCACTTGGAAACCTATGCAATCTCATTTTTAATTAGGGCTTTAGTTAGTACCTTAGCAGAAGTGCAGTGTCAGTATACAAGTAGTATTACGCACAGGTGTTTCTTTCCAAGAAGATACTCTAAAATTATTGCTTAACCATGGCACTTAAAACCTCCTTATTTTTTCAGGCACCTAAGTATCTTCTTTGATTTGGATCCCAGTTCTATTTGCTTGGGACATTTAATCTCAGAATTAGACCAGCTTTACAAAGAAGAATCCCATCAAATACCAGTTAATAATTTACTTGCTCTGAAAGGCAGTAGCTTAAGACAAACAACCACAGTACTGTAAATTATGGCTGGGCTGAGATTAAAGTGAAAGATCATGTGAAGACTGACTATCCTGTGGAACAGACTTCTTGCATTTAACGTGATTTCAGTAACTCCAAATTAACTCACATTTCTCCAACTCAGAAGAAATACCTTATTGCATTTTGCTAGAAGAGCATCGAGTTTAGGACTGACTGAAGATCAGTGATACAGAAAAGAACTCGCTTGGACTGACATGCTTTAGTTTGAGACTTGAATCTGTGATGTTGTGTGACCCCATCCGGGTAACACAGAGGCAGTGTCTTGGCTAAGAGGTTTACCTCCAGACTGCTTCCTGACAAGAAAGAAGCAGGGTTCCTGACAGATTACTTAATCAGTGCTTTATCTTATTTATCTCTCAGAACTGTACAACTCCTTTGGTTCTTCTGGAACTTGACTGTCTCCATGAAAACCTAATGCACTGACAAGATTAAGAACAAGAAATGAGTCTTTTTGCAAGAGCAAGAGAGAACACACATGCCTGTATTTAGAGGCTGTATTTTTCTCCTATAGAATACTGCAACCACTCCCATCCATTCTCACCAAATATACCCATCCTAAAAAAGTCAGCTCACCACAGGCAAGATTCAGTAACTAGAGGGCAGAATTAAGTCTCGCTTCCAAATTCTTTCACTGGCCTCGAGATAACACACTATGCAACTCCAGCCAAATTAGTTTCTTTGTTCCTTGAAATTAGGAAGTAATAACTGCTACTTCACAAAGAACTTCAGAACTAGTTTTTGTAAAGTATTTTGGGGTCCTCACATGGTGAACATACTCATATTGCATAAAACAGAAACTGTGAGGTCACCTGATTATTTTTCCTTTAAGTAAAAACAAGTATGAAGATTAAATCTTTAGATGAAAACTGTGTTTAATTACAGTAGTAGGTACCAAGCCACACCTGAAATCAAGTGCATCTGTGCTACTGAGCAACACACCAAATCTATGCAGAGATCATTTATTCTATTTTGATTCCAATATAATTTGTTCCAACATGTCATTTGCTTAATCCAAATCTACTTACCCAAAACACAATACAGGCTATACTTAGTTTTGTATTATTACTTTAAAGTAAAAAAAATTGTTCTTAAACATTTTGGCTTTGAGAAAAGACAGCTTGTGAATCCACTGACAATCTCAAATTATTGACTTCTTCAGTTTCCAAAGCCCTGTCACCGTTGATCTCGAACTTTTCCACAGATCAAGCCAAATCTGTTTAAAGTTCAAAATACAAAAGATATGAATTATGTTTTTATAAAAATGTAAAAAGCTAGTCAAAATTACATGTTTGGATATTTTATCTCTGAAGAATGGAGTATAGCAGCAGGAACTTAAATATAATAAGAACTATCAACAATAAATACAAGAAATTAGTGCAAAGATTGCAATAGAAGGATTCTTGGGTACAATGAGAATATAAAGAGAAATTCTAATTTGTACAAAAACCATCCCAACTCTGTATACAATCTTGTCTATAAATACAACCACACAAGATGAAATGCTTATTTGCAAATAATAGTTATTAAAAAGTGTGCTTTATTGGGTTTTTCACTCGTTCTCTTGGCAGGTGTAGTTTGCAGGAAGTCTGTAAAGACAAATTTCCAAAATTAGATATTTTTATCTCCTCCAGAAGTTGTTTTAAATACAACACACAACAGATGCAATACATACTTGATTTCCACATAAATCATTGTTAGAACACTAAGCACTGTTACAAATCCATATGGAGTTAGCAATTTTAAGTGTGTGACAATGAGGTAAATTGTAAAAAAAAAAAAAAAAAAAAAAAGATACATTTACCACAAATATTACAACAGCAGTTTACCTATAGCGGAGCATGAAATTGGCTGTGCATTGCTATTGCCTGTTGAAGTTTTTCCTCTTTGGCTCGTCTACAGTGGCAGAGCTACAAAACAAGGCACAGAAAAGTGAATTCTAAATGCATTTTTTTATAATGCGTACTACAGTTTCTCTTTGATGATTTAGCTACTTTGCAGGCTCTTCAAAAAAGGAAAAACCTGTGAACCACCTTCCTTCCAAGCTTCAGACTGAACAATTGCCTGTATTGATAACATTATTCTATATACAACTGCTTACAAGAGAATTGTTTCCTATGTTATGAAATGCATTTAATTGGGCATCTTTACAGAAAGGTAGACTACCTGTTAAGTTAGTTGCCACAGCATGAGCAAGAACAGTGGTTTTTGAACCTCAGTTACTTATTTGGCGATAGCCATCAACAGAATTAGTCTAAGAAGTTTAATAAATTAAAAATTAAGGCTGCTTAATAAAACACATAATTCTATGTCAAATTACCAAATTTAAAATTGTCTGTGTGGGTATCTTCCCTGTATCTTTATAGGACAGTGGCACAAAAATATCTGTACGAATGCAGGACTCGGGTCTAATGCAGGAGACCTTTGCACTCCTGCCTTAAAAATATGTGCCTTCAGAATGCAGATTATGTTCTAAACGGACTGGGGCCACTTAGGGATATATTTTTCTTTTGTTGGAGCTTACTAAAGCACTGCTCTGTATCACAGGACTGCTAAAAGTCTTAAACTTATTCACCATGTGTTGTGTATCTCTCAGATTAGAATGACTTGTATATTCCATACCGTTCTCTTTTCCATGAAACTGCTAAGAAAGTCATCTATTTCTGTTTTGCCTTCCAAGAAGTCTTCTGCGATAGTGTCAGATTCCTCTTCAGCTTCATGAGCAGCTACTTTAAGTCTGGCTTGCAGAGCACTTGGACTGCAACTCTAGGAAAATAAAACCTGCTATGTAATATTAAACTGTCCATCAAAACCTATATTTCCAAGAATAAAGATAAATGACTATATAAATATGGGATATGTTAATAGAGCATTATTATTACATAAAAGCCTAAGTGACCAGATAAAGCTTAATCTCCAAGAAACAGCACAGCTTGTTAAACTAGAAAGGATTCAATGTGTGTAGCTAGTTTAGGTCTTGATTCACAATCCTTCTCATAAATGTATAAAGCTTTTGAACTTCTACGCTACGCTGTAGAAAGCGTCAAACTTGGAAATCTGACAGGTTCCTGAGTGCATGATTTCTGAGTAGAACTAGCATTTCAAGTGTCTTCAATAAATAGGGTCTACTTTTGAAACTCAGTAGGAACTTGAGAATTATAAAAAGGTAACTGTCCAGCTTTTAAATACCCTTGAAATGACTGTAGGGAGGAAGACAGGAGAGGAAAAAACACCTACTCAAGAAGCAGATGGGCTGCTAATCTAAATCAGTATACTTATTCTTCTGTTCATATAAACCTCAAACCTTATTTCTGTTTATTGCACATAATTTCATTCATTTTCTCTATTATGTTTGGGGAGTTAATCAGAACGTGATTGACATCTTCAGTAGAACTCTGAACAGACACAGAACTGCAAAATCAAGCTATTTATAGATTTTAGATGCTTGGATTACCCTTCATCTACCCCATGAAAAATATTTTACTGACATACTGTAAAACTGTAACGTAATCAAAAAATTCCTGCTAAATTCATCTTGTGCAAAATAAGGAGAGTTTGCCCTACTAAAAGATGACTAAAATTCACCCACAGTACAAGTAAAAATAATTGTCTGGAACTTTGAAGGAGAGCTAACAGGAAATACCAGACAGTGCACAGTGAACATCAATTTATGAAGATACAGCATATGTCAAAAACCAGCACAAAAATCCAGCTGCAACTCCCCAGCTCTCAGCCTCCTAACCATCATCAAAGCAAAGCAGCAAATCTAACTTAGAAAAAAAGAAAAGGTAATATAGCAGTGGGGTATTACATCCTGTTCTTAAGTGGTTTCTTACAGAAACAGGAAGTTTCTCAATGCCAAATACCGCTGCCCACTCTAAAGCTTAACTTATGTCACACAGAAAGAAGGCATCAGGAGTCAGAATATTCTGATTTTCAAGTGAGGAAACAATTAATTTAGATCACTAACGAAGTAATTCAGTTTGCTGTGACATAACTTTTTGCTTGCTATTTAGTATTTTGTTACTTTGAGCATTTTGAGATTCAAGTACTCTGTATGTTATTTTGATGAACTGTTGTACTCTCAGGTGAAGTGTCTTGCAAATACTGAAGACTGCAGTGCAGAAATCGTTTTATGTTTTAATGCATATCCCTAGTAAACATATTAAGAAATTATTCTCCTTCCCCAAATTGCTTTCTGAAGTAATGACTTTACCCTATTTGCACTTTAGAATGTGCAAAGTTTGACAGCATATATAAACATGTTGCCCAAAGTAAGCATAGACAGTGAATCACAGAATTTAAGTTTCTAAACCAATGGATTTTCATCTGGTTTTACAAGCTCATTATGTTAAATGGGTACCATTAATTAAACAAGTCGTCTTTAAAAATCATTCTATTCTTAAAACTGGTTTGACCTAGGATTGTACTTAAGAACAGCTCATCACACTCCCTTCCAACTTTGCTTCTGTTGTAGCGTTAAAACAAAAACCAACCAAGCAAACAAAGAAAAAAACACAAACAAAAAAGCCCCGTAAAACAGTAGTGCAATGGTAACACTGTTTTGCTTTCAAACTGTTTGGTACTTTATCCCATTTTATTTCATAATTGATGTGAATCTATTTCATATAAAATTAAGTGTTTAACCAAAACAATACTCTTTATTGATTTAAGATATAAATCAAAACTTCAGTTTTACTGAAGTATTCTTAAAGGGTAATATGATATAGAGATTATACCTCACTAAGTTCATGCTGTCTTTGCATCTTCTTTTCAAAGGCTGCTTTCAGCTGTGTCAGTTGCTCATACTGGAAGGAAAAAGAAAAAGAATGCTTTCCCCCTGAAATAACCAGAATATTACAACTAATATTTCTGAAAAAGATTTTACTGTTCACTTACTTTATCCAACACCATCTGTCTTTTTGCCTCGAGACTCGGCTCTAGCAACAAGTTTTTTTCTGTAAAATAAAGTCACTATTACTACTTTTTTTTAAAGGATTCAGATGGCAGAACAGTCACAGGTACTAATGTTTTGACATCTTACTTGCCAGCTCTTCAATGTTTTTCACTAACTCATCTCTGTCAGTAATGACTTGCTTCAGTTGTGGTAGAGTCACAAATTGTTCCAGTAACACTTCCTCTTGCTCGTTCATATTGGTCAGCTGTGATATGCTATATTCAAACAGAAAGCAAACAGATTTAAAGCTAACAGCAAACATTATGTATAGAGCTACTAATTTCTGCCAGAAGTCAAAAGTCTGAGGCATTTATTGGGACTTTACAAACACATGACACTTGATGACAACTTCCCCCCCGTTTCTCCTGGATTATGGGCTCTACTATCTGCAGCAGTGAGCTTAAAAACCAGTGTGTTAAAAAGTACCTCTTTTTTCAAACTTCACTTCCTATAAAGAATTTTTTAATGCTACTCTAGTGGGTTGACCTTGGTCAGCTACCAGATGCTCACCCAGCTGCACCCTCAGTCACTCTCCTCAACACGATACAGGAGAAAAGCTTGTGGGTTGAGATAAAGACAGGAAGATCACTTACCAATTATGATGACACTTAACTTGGGAAAAAATAATTTAATTTATTGCCAATTATAGCAAGAGTTGAATAGTGAGGAAAAAAAAAGACAAAAACTAAAACATCTCACTCCCTTTTTCCCCAGGCTCAACTTCACTCCTTCATTCCCAGTATCTACCTCCCCCTGCCTGAAGCAGCACAAGCGCGGGGAACTGCATGAGTTGCAGTCAGTCTGTAACAGTTTGTCGCTGCTGCTCCTTCCTCCTCACATTCCTCTCTTGCTTCTGCATGGGTCCCTCTCCACAGGCTGCAGTTCCTGGCAGAAGAGCCTGCTCTAGTGTGGGCTCTCCATGACTGCAGTTCCCTTCAGGGTGTATCTGCCTGCTCCAATGTGGGGTCCTCCATGGCCTATGGCGTGGCTATCTGCTCCAGCATAGTTCTCTCCATGGGCTACAGGGAAATACCTTATGCTACTGTGGTCTTTTTCAAATCTTCCATCAGCTGCAGATGAGTATCTGCTCTGGCACTTGCAGGACCTCTTCCCCCTTCTTTGACCTTGGTGTTTGCAGGATACTCACACTTTTCCACCCCTCTCCTCATTCCTCATTGCCTCTGCAGCATGTGCTCTTTTTAAAACGTGTTTTCATAGAAGCACCACCCACCTCACTGATCACTCGGCTGTCCTGCAGCGACTCTGCTGTCAAGCCAGCTGTGCCTGGCACGGGGAACGGCCCTAGCCCCTTCTCACAAAGGTCACCCTTGCAGCCCTCCAGCTACCAACACCTTGCCACCTACATACAATAGAGCTACTCGGAGCAGCTGCGATACTGTCTGTGATTTAAGTCAACTACCACCAGAAGAATCATGGAACTTTAATCCAGACTTCTTGGAAAGTCCAAACTTGATTACAGTGTTTTTTTTAAACAAACAAATTACACTTGCCCCCATATCTCCTAACTTTCTGATACATAATAAGGATGCTGCTAGAACTCACAGCTGATTCAGCTAACTTAAACAAGCTCTTAGGAAGGTGTCAAAGGAAACAGACAAAACCAGAAGTCCTTCTTGCCAAAGGCCTTTTCTTTTTTGAAAAGACAGAAGTGTTCAGTCACTAAGCTAGGATGCCACCGTAAAGATGTGAGATCAGAAAGAAACCAATCTCCTAACCAATCTCTTTCAGAATTAATAGCTAATTTGTAATCTATTAAATCCCAGATAACCAATTTAAGAGGCTGTCTCATTCGATCTAAGCAAATTTCAGGGAACAATAACTAATACAATTTTTTTAAAAACTGTGACAAGATACACTTTTGATGAAAATATTTGTGTAATACGTGTACACAGTATTTAGATGCGGAAGTGATTTTCACTGGGACAGCTGGCATTTTTTACCACCTGGATTTATCTAACCCAACCTCTGTGCACATCTTGAGCTGCTCATGAAGTTGTCCATTGTTTACCCTGCACTACAGTCCTTTTGAATTAAAGAGAATGTAATTTGTGAAGCAGTCTCAAGTCCATTTCCATGTCCCCTTTCCTCCTTCAAGAGTTACGCTCATTTTTTAATAGAAATTAAGTCCCTAGCAAGGCCCCAGAAGACAGCAGAACACTGATGGTTAGGAAAAGTAAAAATAAATGCTCTTTTTCCTGATGTTGAATCCTGAAGTATTGTTTCTGCTGAGAAAACCCTGAACAAGCAGCATATCCAAATACAAGGCTGGCTTACTTTCTGACTCTACAATTTTGGTAAGTGGTAGTTCTCTTATTTGTAATTTCTACAGAAACCTTTCAGTGATGTATACAAACTTTTGACAAAAATCAGATACAGACTGTTACTGCTGTAACTGCCTTCTAATGACTGTGGATGGTTTTGCTACCTTCTGAAAATTTACCTTAGCTCTGAGAGTTCTGGAAATGTGTCAGGAACATCAGGCATCTTGTACGTAAATCCATTCTGCCCAACCTAAATGGAAGTTTAAAAATGCTTAGTAGCTTTTTGAAAAGCAATTTCTTGATATTTAACCTGATTAATCCACAACTGGACATTAATATTTGCCAGCAATAAGGACAGTAGGAAAAGCAGTTAGAAGCAGTAGCACTAGTCTCTGAATAGAAGATGTCTCAACTCAACCATGGCAATAAAGTACTTAGGGATGTTTGGGGTGGCATTTCATAAAAAGTGCGTCAATTTTGGAGGAAAATAATTCTGTTTTGTTATATCCTCCATCGGACAACAGCTGGATGACTCAGAAAACACACAGGAGGAGTATAACTCAGGGAAGTGAGAACAGAGAAAGAGATTGCAATTTTGATCTCTTTCATATGTTTTTTAAAGCTATAATCCCTGAGGAAAAAAGTTTTTAGACAAAATAAAAAAAAGTCTGTCTTCATAGAATTTAGAAATTTTAAATTCCACAGAGCCAGACAAGTATCTTCCAAGATTAAGAAAGCTTTTGTTTCTGAAGACAAGATTTGATGAAAGACTAAACATTCATATCAAAAGTTTTTGGAGGATGTTCAAAAAGATCCTTCCAGAGTGCATCAGTGAGAGGATCTTTGTGAGTACACACATACAAGATCTGTGAAAAGAAACTATTTATAAAGCATGAAAACGAGCAATAAATACTGTACACTATACGTAAGGCTTGAGATGGCACATCATTCTTACCTGATAGGTTCTGGGCAGGAAATCCTTTAGAGAGAAAAGGATCTCATTTGCTGTGGCTGGAGAAACAGTCACAGCTGCACTATCGGGGAACGCAGCTCAAGAAAGAAAGTATATGCAAAGGTATTGAGCATAACACTAGTTTCACTGAAACTCAGAAAGACAAACTTGTTGCTCTGACTTCGAATTTGTTCTAAAAAACTTTTCATCAAAGCCAGAATGACAGTTTCCTTTCCCTAGCATCAGCAAAACAGTGAAGTGCAGTCACTCAGACTGCTCCCTTGAGCTTTGTGGCAGTCCACCTGTGTGCCCTTGAGTGAACTTATTCCCAGCATCCCATAGCTTAAGCAGCAAAACTCAGTGCACAAACCTGAAGCACTGTTTCTGCTGTCGGAACAGGTAGTGGCAAATCAGCAATCAAGCCATAAGAGGGAGCAGCAGGCTTGTCTGTACTGTAACTTGAAGGAACTGATTCAGCAACTGGGACGGCTGCCATTGTTCGATTTGTTTCTTGAGGTGGGTATGGAGGAAGAAATGGAAACCCCTGAGAAGCAAAAGGAGGCATTCCAGCTGGTTTGTTGAAAAGGCTAAAAACAAACAAAAAACCACAACCATGAGCAAACAACTGCTTACAGCACATGTCTTATCATCTGAATTCTAATTACTAGACCACATACAAGGCATAAGATTGAATTTTTATATGATCATAAAACTGCATCTTCTGTTCTCAGTTACTTTCAATATAGTAAGTCTTACTTTATGTCTTATACTGCAACATAATATACAACTCCATTAAACTATATTCTTGTAGGGCAGCCAAATACACACTCACACTCTTAATTATAAGAAAACAACTTAGCAAAAATTTATGAGAGCATAACTTTAAATAGTTTCCATCTAAAAGTCCTGGGAAATGCATCTGTAGAGTACTTCAGTTCTTTTTTACAGTATAGCATTTAACAGCTTAGGGAACACACGCTTCTAGGTAACATGATTTTTTTTTAAATTCACAACTGCAGCTGCATCTAAACCCAGTGTCATTGTCAGTCACAAGAATCACAGTTGTACTCATAGAGCTATAATGTCTCAGACCATGTTTAATGCAATTATTTAAATTGCACAATTTCTGTTCCACAGTTGTGCAACAAAAGCTGCCTCTAAGCCTGGGAGATTATGAACAGAATATTCACTACTGCTAAGATAACGATCTATAGCAAAATCAAGATTTCATCTAATAATGTAAACATTTATTCTTTTTCAAAAAAACAGAAGCACAAAAAGGTTCATCAGCATGTTGATACAGTACATCCAATGACATCTAGTGTTTCTTCTCTAAACAATCACGCTATCAAACACGCACACAGAATTGTGCAAGGCAGGGAATCTGTGTCTCCTAATATATCCACTACATTATTCCTGTTCCTACCTCTCTGATACTTGGTTTCATCTCTTTTTTAAAAAATGTAAGTTAAAACACAAAGTTCCATTCATCATGCTCATAGATACTTACTATGGAAATGATGTTGAGCTTGGAGCCAGAACTGGAGGATTCTTCCAAAACTCGTCCAGTAAACTTTGTATAATTTTTCCAAGATCTGAGTGCATTGTAAACTGGTAAAAACAAAACCCAATCCAGAACAAAAATTATGCCTGGAATTCAACAGTTCCAAAATGTGCTGAAATTGACTGCTTATTATACCTACACAGCAACACTGGAAGCTACTTCAGAGACAAATCTACTGTAAACTGTGTATACATAAGCTCCAAATAAAGTGATAAAGCCACCCAGAAGTGAACAGAAACTAAGTCTTTTGTATATTCCATTATCAATGGAGAATCAATCAAGTACATTTCTGATGACCAGCCAAAAAACCCTACCTTAGTTACCAAGTTACATTTGGGAAAACAAGGAAAGGAAAGAAAAAGACCAACCCTGTAAAAAAAACAGTAATTGCACTCTGAAAATGTCATAACCTCCCCCATCCAAAAAACTACCACATCCTTGTTGGCAAAGAACAAACAAACAAACACCAAACCAAACCAAAATCCAACATATTAAAATCCCAAATATTAGAGCTAAAACCTTGACATCTTTCTAATAGGATTAAGAGCTATGTTACAAAACGTTCTTAAAGCATCCTTCTCCCTTATCTGGAATACACTGTACAGAAACAAGAACTGTGCTAATGGTACTAAAAAGAAAAGTGACAAGAACTTTCTAAGCCATCGTAACTTAGAATAGTTTTAGATACATGGAATACTCAACTCAGTAATGGCAATAGTAAAAGAATAAATAGTAGTATACTGAATACTACTGAATTTTTGTTTTCAGACCCCTAAAAATACATTTTAAGAAGGATTAGGATCTGTAACTAGTATTTTTTACCAGAAGTATTAGCAATAATCTAGTGTGACATGTATTAAAATCGCTATTAACAGTAGATATATGTGAAGCTACAAATTATACATACATTACTTATCAACGGACTGGTCACATACACTCCCTGCTTGTCCATTAAATGATGTCTCACAGGTGGGAAAACACTGATGACTGGTTTTTCCTGAGGAAACTGAGGTGGAAGCAAGCTGCAAATACAAGGATAATCATTACTATAGCTACATCCCATGGCAAAGTTTTCATAAGAAGGCTTCTTATGCAAAGAAAAAGTACTGTTTATTACATAAACTTACTTTTCTACAAGAAGAGTTATGGAGAAATACGGAGTGAATGAAGCACACAAAAGGACTGCAGTTACAAAATCAGAAGTCAGACAGATTAGAATACCAGATTTCCATGGAACTGAAGAGAACATATACTGGGCAAAACTGGAGTATAACAATGAAGCATAATATCCACAAACAAAGAAGAAGCTGCAGGATAATGAGTATATTTTCTAATACAAATGCTACTACTAAAAAGACAATGCAGTATAACCTGCAGAAGTATCAGGTGAGTTATCAGGCCAAAGTAATACAAAACTTGTGAACAGAATACCATCAATATATGCCAGAGCAAAAGCACCTCCCAAAGTAAATTCACAGGAAAGGTTACAATAAATCACTTAAGTTATGATCCAGAAGCTTCACTGGAGTAAAAGTTAGGAGCTACAGCAGGTTATTAAACCAATAATTAAGTTCATTTTGAGTCATAAGGAATTCAAAGTCATCAGAAACTCTCAAGCATTTTTTTCTACTTACCTTAAACTAAAACTACACAGGTATCTTAGGAGCTGAGCACAGCAAAATATAATTTTGCTTTCAGCTGAACATCAGCATCTTGTACAGAACTAGTTTCACTCATACCTCTACAACTACTAATGCAAATCCAAGTTATAGTTCCTGAAGTTAGTTACGAGATGGGAGCCATTTATGCTCTATCACTAATTTTTTTTGAGAACTGTTTTAATTTTCAAAATGTGCATAGAGATATCTCACTCTACTTACATGTTAATATTAATTGTCAAGTTGTTTACAGTGAATGGCAGTCGATATTCCACATCTTTCTGAATTTCTGCAATGCTGTAAAAGAAGAAATTGTTAGCATCTAATTCACAGTCAAAATAACAGCCTAAATTATAAGATACAGGACCTCAGACCTTCATATTTAGTTGAGTTTTAAAAAGCCCTGTAAGAATAAAATTGAAAATGCTGTAGTAAGTTAGTATGCTTCAAAATGCTATATTAAGATTAAACCAAAAAAATAGTAATTTAACTTTTAAACCTCATACATGATCACAAGCAATGGAAATACAGTAGGAGAAACTGTGCTACTCACTGATCTGACAACAATATCAAGTTATTTTTCTCCACTTACTGACTTAAGACATCACATCAGTGATTTTCTTTATATACGGAATTTTATCTGATAAAACATTTACTTTGTGAAGGCATTACACTTGGTTCACAAGTAAGTATTGCTCTGCAACACTGCCTACAGTTCAATATTTAGAACATACATAACACTAGGCCTTCTTCCTTAATGGATTAGCTTAATAGGAGTTTTTTCCACATGCAACAAGTTCTATGCACTTGCACAGATATTTTCAAGAATTATCTGGAGAAGAACTACTTGCAAGAATGTAAAGCTCTGTAATCCAGTAACACTCAAGACTCAGACTTGAAAGCACCAAATGAAGAAACATGTATCTTAGGAAATCTGGTAAGACTGAATCCAAAATTGCTTCTCCTGTAACAGGTAAGTTACTGAGAAAAATCTTTAAATCAGCTGCATTAATAGGAACTTGATTTCAATATTCAAAGCACTCTACAATCTCTATGCACAGCAAGACTGTTTTGAAAGACTGAGGAGAATGTGGAAGAGGAGAAGACTTAACTGAGCAGCAGAATTTCCAGAAAAAATGAGCATACCTAAGCTGGGACTTGGAGAGAAAGGAGGGCAGAAATTTAGCTTCATTTTATAACACCCCAAACGCCAATCAAAACAAATTTAAAAACCAGACCGATTCCTCA